GGGGTAGCACCCCAGAATCAAACACATTAGTGTCTCTGCAGTAAGCAGTGAAATATTCACTTCAACAGGAATAAAGATTATAAATAGCCTTACAGCATTTCAGGCCAGGTTTGTTGCCAAATGAGTTAAATGAAAGCATTTTATTTCAGTGCTTTTTGGATTTCAGAATTGTTGATGAGGGATTCTGGACCTTTGTTTTGTTTATCATTATTTCACATTTTAGTAACAGATTTAAAAAGATTAAGTAATTTGCCCAAGTTACTCTAACTGATAAGTAATGAAGAATTATGTAAAACTGATGGACTTAGTCTTAATTTTTCTAGGAACTGCTACTCCGGATCCCAACTGTATGCCTTTCACTTCATGTTTTTAAACCCCGGCTTCTCATCAGGAAGATTGGGGAGATTTAACTAACTGGGTTTTAAACTAACAGACTCTTCTGCAAGCGTGGCTCTTCCCTGGTGATGACACTGTGAATGCCCTCTGCTCCTCATCCTCACAGGGTTCCTCACTTTGGTGATCTCTGCACACTCTGGAGATCATGCCTTTGAGAGGAAAGTCTTGGTTCTCACAGCCCTTGATTGTATGATTTTGATCCAGCTGGTACACCCATTCTTTGACCCAGGCTTCACACTAGGTCATGTTACACTCTGGCCACTCAGAAGCCCCAGCATGGGGCTTCTCTGGGTTTCTTCAACTTGACTCTCTGATTTTCTTTCCCCATTTTTCTTCCAGCCAGAAATCAGATTTCAGATACATCTACATCAAGATATGCTGGCCTTTTGGCTATTGCTAACTTTTTTTCCCCGGATGTTTCTACTGTAATTCTAACTTTGTTACTTTTGGCAATATGATCTCTGAACCTGATTCCTGGAACCTCTGAGTGAATCAGAGGGATCTCTGGGAATGGGTCCTGGGAAACTACATTTTTCACCTGCATGTCACATGGTTTTTGAACCAGAACCCAAATCGAATCCACTGCGGTCCAGTCTGCTCCAATCTATGGCAACCTTATGGGACCTCATGTAGAATTGCTGTGCAGGGTTTCTAAGACCATAAATCTTCATAGAAGCAGGCAGCCTCCTCTCCCACAGGATGGCTGGAACCATGGACCTTGAGGTAAGCAGCTCAACGTTTCAACCACTAGTCCACCAGGGCTCCTTGTGTGGATCTTGAGCACCAATAATTTGGGATCAACAGCTCTAGGGGCTGACAAAAATTTTTGTTCACTCTTCCATTGCATCTGCTCCTAAACTTGCAGGCACAGATTCAATCTACTTACCCACAGATCAGAACAAACAACAAATGTCCAAATTATTTTCCTTCCAAAGGCATCTAAAGAAATATTGTTGGGAAAGTTTAATCAATTAATAAGGGAGGTAAGCATAAGGTTTCTGGTGTCCTGTGCTGTTAAGAAGATTCTGATTCAAAGCCATCTGGGTAGGCAGGCACAACAACCCACAGGGTTGCATGCGCTGTGCTCTGAATTTGACAGCATCACCAGCTCTTTTCTCCCACAAAGCAGCTTGTAGATTCAGACCACTAGGCTTTGATGGCAAGGTAAGTGCTTAACTATTGCACCACTAGGATCCAATGATTTTTTTTCTTTTTTTTTTGTTTTGTTTTGTTTTTCTTTTTTTCTTCTTTTTTTTTAA